TGGCTTCTGCAAGTATGCCAAATTTGATTTCAGCATGTACGCCCGAGTTTGTTGCGCTGTTGATCCCATAGAATCAGCGGAGGATCGGGTTAAGACCGTTTCGCTGATTCACAGCTCCCTGGAACGCGCCGATAGAATTTACCGTCAGTTGCTGACCAACAAGCAAATGCTGGAGCTTCTTATTCAAAAGGTAGCCGAGCACCGTAGCAGTGACCGAATGGTGGAGGACAACATGGCCAGCGTGCACAGCACATCTCAGGTGAACAAGATTATACAGCTGCTCGCCCAAAAATACTGTGTGGAATCGCGCACCAGTTTTGAGGAGCTAAGCAAAATCGTTCAGAAGGTCAAGGCATGTCGAAGGTACTATCACTGAATTTGAGTCATAAATTTCGCAAATAATAATTTGAATTGATTTTACTTTTTAGCGAACTAGTGGCCTACGATCGTCAACAGCAGGACCAGCCACCGGTTAATCCCGGCTCGACAACCGGTGCCGAGAATCCAACCACAAATCGCTGTTACGGCTGTGCATTGGCATCTACCGAGCAGTGTCTGACGCTTCTCCGAGCCATGGCTTACAATTACGATTGTCGCGTGGGCTTGTATAGTCAGGGACTCGTCAGTGAGCTGGCTGAGCACAACCTGCGACGGGGCACTCCCCAAATTCAGGAGGAAGTGCGCAACCTGCTGGTTGTACTGACTAAGGATAATGCCGAGGCATGCATGCATCTGTTGCAGTTGGTGACTACAAGGGTAAAGAATGCTCTAATGGGATCGATTCCTCTGATAAGTTTAGAGGCAGCTGTGCACCAAGAAATGACACTACTGGAGGTGCTCTTGGGCCAGGACGACCTTTGTTGGGAATACAAGTTAAAGGTCATCTTCGAGCTGTTTATTAGCAACTGCCGGTAAGTTTTTTTCTATAAAATGCCGTGAATAATTAATTAGAATATAATATAAATATGATGCAATTTAAATGGACTTCGAATTCTTTCTACAGGTTGCCTCGTGGTCCGGTAACAGCAGTACTGCACCCCTGCCTTCGCATCATGCAGAATCTCATCTGCCCGGTGTTGCCAAGCAGTAAGCCCAATCAGAAATTGGCCACTACAGATTTATGTAGTATGAAGATGCTAGAGGGCAACACGGTGGACTATAGGGCCTGGCTGAACTCAGATCGAAATCATGAATACGCAGCGTGGAGCAAGCGGATGCCTTCAAATAGCCAGGCTAAGCAAAAGAGCGCCAAGGATCAGACCGCTACAGGAGCGGTATCAGGCGGATCAACTGTATCAGAAGCACCGCCGAAGAGCAAACGAGAGGTGCGAGCCGCCTTCCTTAGCGAAAAGTATGGAAAACGCTGGCGGGAAAGGGTGCTGGACAAGCAACGAGTTATAAGGCCTCTTGTTTTTAATGCCAAGTGGATACAACCGTTGCTATTTAATGCAAACTCCAGATTCGGGCGCCAGCTGGCCTGCTCCTTGCTGAGTAGCTTGAGCAGGACCAACGAACGAAGGCAACAAGCTCTAAACATGCTGACGTCGTTCCTGAAACATGTAGGCGAAGCAGGCGAGGCCAGTGCAGAGTACTTAATGTTGTACAAGAGCATGGCCACAGAACAACCCTGGCTGCAGTATTTGGTCCTAAAAGGAGTATTAAGTCAAATCTCACAGCTTCTGGCTATTGAAATAAGCAAGGTGCACCGCATGGAGGAGCACTCGCTTTCTTCAGACTTATCCTTGGGATATGCTCTGCGCCAGTATGTGGAATTGTTGTGGTTACTCCTGGAGTGTCCAAATATTCGCAGAACCTACAAGACTCGCATGCTTGGGCCAGTCCTGGAAAGCTATCTTGCTCTAAGAAGCTTAGTGGTGCAGCGTACGCGACTTATCGACGACGCCCAGGAGAAGCTGTTAGATATGCTAGAGGATATGACCAGCGGAACCGAGGAGGAGACACGTGCTTTTATGGAAATCCTTATTGACACCGTGGAGAAGACCCGCATGAATGACATCAAAACACCGGTGTTTATATTTGAGCGGTTATACTCCATTATTCATCCCGAAGAACACGATGAAAGCGAGTTCTATATGACGTTAGAGAAAGATCCCCAGCAGGAGGACTTTCTGCAAGGCCGCATGCTGGGTAATCCTTATCCCTCGAGTGAAATGGGATTGGGCCCACTGATGCGGGATGTGAAAAATAAGATTTGTACGGATTGTGAACTCATCGCCCTGTTGGAAGATGATAACGGCATGGAATTGCTGGTCAACAATAAGATAATTAGCTTGGATCTGCCCGTCAAGGATGTGTACAAAAAGGTTTGGTTAGCTGAGGGAGGCGACCGCGATGCCATGAGAATTGTTTATCGTATGCGCGGCCTTCTGGGAGACGCCACAGAGGAATTTGTGGAAACGCTGAACAACAAAAGCCAGGAGCAGGTGGACACCGAACAGCTGTATCGCATGGCCAATGTGCTTGCTGATTGCAACGGCCTGCGCGTAATGTTGGACAGGATTGGCAGCCTGCAGCGCATTTCGCGCAACCGAGAACTTATCCAGGTACTGCTAAAGCTTTTCCTCATTTGCGTGAAAGTGCGCCGTTGCCAAGAGGTGCTTTGCCAGCCCGAGATTGGAGCCATCAACACGCTGCTCAAGGTGCTTCAAATGTGTCTGCAGTCGGAGAACGATTCGATTCAGTCGGCGGTCACCGAGCAGTTATTGGAGATAATGGAAACGATACTATCGAAGGCGGCCAGCGATACGTTGGATTCGTTCCTGCAGTTCTCCCTAACATTCGGTGGACCGGAGTATGTGAGCGCCCTAATATCGTGCACAGACTGCCCCAACGTTAGAAACAATCCTTCGGTGTTGCGCCATCTTATTCGCGTCCTGGCCGCTTTGGTTTATGGCAATGAGGTGAAGATGGCTCTACTTTGCGAGCATTTTAAGGTAAGAGGTTACATCTCTATTCTATGTATAAATATTCATTTATTTTCCTCTTCCAGGACACTTTAAACTTTAAACGCTTTGACAACGAGCGCACACCTGAAGAAGAGTTCAAGCTGGAACTCTTCTGCGTGCTCACTAACCAAATTGAGCACAACTGCATTGGCGGCACTCTGAAGGACTACATAGTAAGTCTAGGCATCGTGGAGCGATCGCTTGCCTACATCACCGAGCACGCACCTTGTGTCAAACCCACTCTCCTGCGAACCGACTCCGATGAGCTGAAAGAATTCATTTCGCGACCAAGCTTAAAGTATATTCTTCGCTTCCTCACCGGCCTCTCAAACCATCATGAGGCAACTCAGGTGGCTATTAGCAAGGACATTATACCCATTATTCATCGCCTGGAACAAGTATCCAGCGATGAACATGTGGGCAGTCTGGCCGAGAACCTGCTGGAAGCGCTCTCCACGGACTCGGCCACAGCGGCGAGGGTGCAACAAGTGCGTGACTTCACCAGGGCAGAGAAGAAGCGGCTGGCTATGGCTACGCGAGAAAAACAGCTGGACGCGTTGGGAATGCGCACAAACGAAAAGGGCCAGGTGACTGCCAAGGGCTCCATTCTGCAAAAGATCGAAAAACTGCGCGACGAAACGGGACTGACTTGCTTCATTTGTCGCGAGGGATACGCCTGCCAGCCAGACAAGGTGCTTGGTATCTACACCTTCACCAAACGCTGCAACGTCGAGGAGTTCGAGCTTAAGTCGAGGAAAACAATTGGCTACACCACCGTTACACACTTTAATGTGGTCCACGTAGACTGCCACACATCAGCCATAAGATTGACGCGTGGCAGGGATGAATGGGAGCGGGCTAGTTTGCAGAATGCCAACACTAGATGTAATGGACTGCTGCCTCTTTGGGGACCCGCCGTTGGAGAGGCGGCCTTCTCCGCTTGCATGACCCGCCACAGCAGTTATATGCAGGAGAGTACCCAGCGCTGTGACATCTCCTACACAAGCAGTGTGCATGACTTGAAGCTGCTGTTGGTTCGGTTTGCCTGGGAACGCAGCTTCCACGACGATGCCGGCGGAGGAGGTCCGCAATCGAACATGCACTTTGTACCCTACCTGCTCTTCTACTCAGTCTATCTGCTGCTTTCCTCGCGATCAGCGGCAAGGGATAGCAAGACTCTGCTGACATATTTGCAGGCCCCGCCCAGCGAGAAGTGGTTGGAATGCGGATACGAAGTGGATGGTCCGCTGTTTATGGCAACTATTTCGCTCTCACTGCACAGTCGGGAGCTATGGAATAAGCATAAGCTGGCTCATATGAAGAGGATGATTGCAGTGGCACAGTCTCGCCACGTCTCACCGGCCGTGCTGTGCAAGGCGCTGTTGGCGCCGACAGATCGTCAGGTCAAGACGTACAGTGTGTACAAGCCCTTCCTTATGATGTGGGCACTGGTGGACTTGATCTACAACAACCTGTTTAAGACGGTGAGCACGCCCAAGGAGGAGGATTGGCCGATTTCTCTGTTCGACTACCTTCGGAAGAATGATGAGGCTTTGCTCAAGTCCACGGACAGCATCCTCCAGACCCTGACGGAGGAGTTCCTGCCGTGCACTTCCTTTGCAGAGTTCTGTGATGTGGCAGGTGAGTCTCCTTAGCCGCTCTATTTAAATATCGCCATTAAATTATTTGCTGTGGTCCTTAGGTCTCCTGCATCTCATCGAGCAGCCGGACAGCTTCATCGAAGAAATCCTCGCTGCGCTGCCTTCAACATCAAGCTCTAGTTAAAATGCAATCGTTGTTTCTGACCAACTAAAGCGTAGAACACTAAGCGACTTCTTGCTTATATATAAACATACAGCATAAATTTATATTTATCACATACTAAATATTTAATCAATAAAATTATTCGTTTGCACAATGAATTTAGGCCTTTGTTTGTTTTGGGCTGAGAATTAAAGCCAAAGTCAGTTTATATATCATATCTTCTTTATTGCAAAAAAACAAATAAAAATATTAAATAAAATAGGGTATAAATATATTGCAAAACGGGACGAATTGATTTATTTCTAATATACATCAGTTCTAAAAATTTCTCTAATTTCGTAAACTCAAATATACAAAAATAGCTACCACATTATAAGGAGGGAATTCTAAACTAAATCGATATAGTGAGAATTTCTTACAACCATTTGGTTACAGAGATTAGGAAAGATTCTGTAGGATTTTGTTCGTTTGTGATGTGCAGCTAGGAAATATTCAAAATATTTCCAAATTGGAAATCATTCCAATTTATCCGGCCATATGGGTGTCAGTGAGCTTTTGCGTAAACATAACAAGTGTGTAAAAAACTGGATTGATCATAAAAATAGTTGTTTGTTCTTAAAATAGTAGGTACACCGGTGCGTAAGAGTGCGCAGTAGAGAGCTAAATAACTAATTGAGCAAATGCTAACCACCACAACTGGGAAGGAATATCATAATACTTTATACAATACAAATACATACTAGCTATGCGAAGATACAACTCATATCGTACATATCTAAAAAGAAACCTATTTGAGCGACAGACATTCACTTAAGTTTGGAATAACCAACGTCTAATTGCTATGACACTTTCAGTATACTATAATAATACGTATATCTTGATTTCTTTGTTGTTCATATGGCTTCTAAATGTTCTTGTACGACATTCTGTTCATGATGCGCGAAGAAATTGACATTCCTATAAGTACTTTACTGTATCAAATTCATTCTGCTGTTTCTCCACTTTTCACTAGGTTATTTCCCTGTTGGTTATGATTTGAGTTAAATTATCTTTTCGTTTACATATTAGCCAAATGAAAGTTCATATAAATCAGTCCGAAAATTTGTTCTGTGTTTAAACTACGTGAATGCATTGCTGTATCCTGTTGCAGATTCGAGACCCAATTCCTTTATATTATGCTTATAATCTAATATTTTATCCATTTCCTGTATGTTAATCTTCTGATAAGTATAAACATTATATAGACGATTTGTGCGCGCACAAGCTATCGTTTAACACACCTTTGTTGCATATATGTACACATAGTATTAATTATTGCGTTATCTAAACGTTATGTACAAAAATTACCTACACTATTCATATACACCGATTTCTAAACGTATGTCTTTTTGCTCTTCCTAAATACGTCCTTGCATAGATATTAAACTCGGTTCGGCTTTCGACATTGACTAACAATTAGTTTGTTCGTGCTGACAGAGATTCTGGTTTAGGCCGGGTGATTAGCCACATTCTGACCCCTTTGGGCGCGCATGAAGTGACGGGTATTTAGGGGATATTGCCGCGAATAGGAAATGAGAGTGGACCCCAGGGCAATGCTCAATGGAGCTCGCGAGCGGCCTGGCAAGCTAATGAACACCGTTCCCACAGCCGCCAAATTGTCAAATGTGGGCTCTATGGCTACCATCATGATGCGGGAGCTTTGGCGGCGTGTGGAGTGGTGCATCACCGATTGCGAGTCACCTGCAGATTGCTCCTGGAGAAGAAGCGCCTGGCGGGCGCGCTGCCGCATGGCGCGGGCCGAGGAGGAGGAGGAGGTCGGCTGCGGACTGTCCATATCAAGCCCGCTCGAGGCCAAGAAGATCTGGGCGAATGGACGCTTGGCCAGGTGCAACATCTCCACCACATGCTGTCTTCTAGCTCGTCTCAGATCCGCTGCCTGCTTCACCTTCCACACAATCACGCAGACGGCGAGGAAGAGGAAAAAGCAGGAGAAGAACACTGAGAAGAACACAAACAGATCAATGTGCAGCTGATCCTGGCGGAATACGACGGAGCCGTAACTGGGTTCGGGTCCAGAGCTCGCTCGCAGAGCAATGAAAAAGCGTGTGGCACTTAGGTTGTGGGCGTGCTGGGGCAGGGTCAGCACCAAACGATTCTTTAGCCCAAAGAGGCGCAACAATGTGTTGCAATGATTAAGCGTTACATGTGTACTCAAGTCCTTGGCGTGCTGGTCCTTCACTATAAAGTTGTGGCCCCCATGGCTCTTGCAATCCTGCAACTGGGGCACGTAATAGGTATTGGCTCCGATTCTCTCTCCTCCAAGGCCCCCGCCACCAATGCGACGCTCGGGTGAAAACAATTTCTGTATAGTGACATTGTCGTGCCTGGGCAACGCAACATTTAGAGGATGCTCCCGTTTTATCTTTGGCCCCCAATTGTATCGGTTGTCAAGGAATATCTCGTGGTAGCCGGTAGTCTCATTCGTCTCAACTATGAATGAGTCGTCCTGTGGTGACATGAAAACATCCAACTCGCCTTGGGTCACATCGATAATAATGCGTATATCCACGTTCATAAAACGAGGCTGGATCACGAAGAACACCGTTTGGCCGGGCTTCAGGGCGGCTGGCTTCGATTTGCATTCCTCTGTTGTGAAAATAAATTTGTGTATAGAGAATTATGTGTAACACAAAAGGCGACATGGCACTTACCAATTGGCTTGGCGTCGAAGCACATTCGCGACTCAACAGTTATTTGCTTGTAGCACTGATGGCCATCTGTGGGGTTGCCAGCATAGGAATCGCGACACTTGGAGCACTGCACCATCCAGCAGAGCTGCGCCGAGTTCTTTCCCCCACCCGCAGTGCAGGTAGCATCGCTTTCCGTGTTGTTGGCGCAGTTGCACTTTTCCCCGGTGACAGGATCGCAAATGTTTCCATGTCCATGACACTGGCAGGGCCGACACTCCTTGTGCAAATCCTCACTACCACGGAAGTACCCAGTTAGGCAACTGTCGCAGCGATCACCAGCGGTGTGATTGCCGCATCTCAAGCAGGTGGCATTGTAAGCCGGACCTTCCTGTAAAATCCTTTCCAGATCAGAGCGGGTCATATTAAACACTGCCGGATCCGCATCGTAGGCAACACACACATCACTGTGGCCGTGGCAATAATCCAAGCATGGTTGGCAAGCATGACCTTCGCGGGGGTTGCCCACAAAAAGCGGCTGACACTTCTCGCACTGCTCTCCCATCGTGTTGTTGTGACACTCTAGGCAAATATCCAGCCGACTACTGGACTCGCAGTTGGAATGACCATTGCACAAACACTGGATGCTACAATTGGCGCCCACGTAGCCAAAGTCGCACTGGCATTGTTCCGGACTCACGCAATTTCCACGGACACACCCTTGACTGCACACCGGCAAGCAGGCACCCTGCTCCTCGCGGTATCCCTGGGCACAGACGCACTTGTAGCCCACTGCTGTGTCCAGGTCGATGCACTGTTCCGACACAGTGTCACAGTTGTGATGGCCATTGATGCACTCATTCTCCGCCGGACACTGCACATAGTGCCAGGACACAACATCAGCATGTGTTAGGTGTGAATCATTTCGCCAGCTGGCATATATAAGATCGCAAGTGGATCCTGAGGGATGTTCCTGCTTATGTTCCAATGCTCCCTCCGTGCAAATGCCATCGCCATTATATCCCTCGCGGGCGCACCAACCACAATGGGCGTGCTCCAGACAGCTGGAGCACTGTGTGTATACATGACATGGTTCCGGACAGCGTTTCAGCTCGCTAGCTTCCAATACCAATCCACAAACGCCACCAGCACACAGTAGTGGCTGGGAGCCGGGCGTCAAACACAAGTTCAGCATAGTGGACCATTTACACTCCTGGTGGTCTTGAGTTGGCGTTTGACTCAAGCACAAGCTACAGTTCTCGTAGGTGTGGCATGGCGGAGGGCAACTTTCGACCACCCTGTACTGATTCTTCTCCACCAATTCCTTGGCTATGCACTCAACAGTGCCCAGTTCATTCCTGGCCCAGTTGCATTGCGGCTGAAGCATACAGCTCTCACAGCTCAATTGGTAGCATTGTGGCAGGGGACACAGGCCTAAGACTCCAACACTCAGTTCTTTGTTGCACCAGGCACTCCTCCTTCCGCAGTCAACTCCAGCTGGAACGCAGCGGCCTCGAATGCCACAGTCGTCACACCAGTGGCATACAGGTGCCACCTCTTGATGCGTTGGCCAGGCCGCCAGACAGGCTCCGCAAGTTGCAAAGCTCGAGCAGTTCCTGCTCGCCATCCAGTCATCATCGCATGCAGCGCCATTGTTGACCACCAGGGTGCCATTGTGATTGGCGCACGGAGTTCGTCCATGGCTAAAGCAGTGGCTACTGTAGCTATATGTGTTCTGAATGGTACAGTAGCTGCAGCCCATGTAGTGCCGGCATTGGTACTTCCCGTTGCTCCAGAGCTGGCAAATATCATCGGGCAAAGTTATCTTGGTGACGTGACTGTGCGTGGAGCTGCCATCCCATCCACCGATGACATAAATCGCTCCCGTATCCGGCTCAATGGCCATGTCCTCTGCATAACTCGAGGCTGGCACACGACCTATAAGCTCCACATCCTCTGTCAGCCGCACCCACTGATTGCATGCGTAAACATAGGCAATAAGAACATCTGTTCCATTAAAGGGCTGCGTCCGTCCACCGTAAAGTATCATGTAGTGTTCGGTGGTAACGGCCGAGTGGAAATAGCGAGCCCTCGGCAGCAGCGAGGCAGGTGAATTCAGTTCCCTGAAACTGGGAAGTTCCGTCCAGCTCAGCTTCTGCAAGTCCAACGCATACAGATTGCTCTGAGGCTCCGTGGAATATCCTCCAAACAAGTAAACACTGTTTGTCTCCGGGTGGTAGACAGAAGTGTGGCCATAAAGAACAGGCATTCTAGCACCCACAGCCGCGAGCTCTTGCCAACGACCAGTGTCCAGGTTGAACTCCCACAACTCGAGTGGTCGGGACTTGTTCAGCGATAATCCGCCCAGGAGAATCAACGACTCGTGCTCTTGATAGCGTAGATGGGTAAGCGTATGACCGGCTAGAGGGGGCGGTACATCGACCTGTAAAGAATTACCATTATTGAACACCCTTTACAACTCTACAACTTTTATCAACTCTTTCCTATTAACTCACCTGGTAGTCCGCTTCACTTGGTTCGACCTCCACCTTAATCTGACTCCAGCGTTGGTTCTGTATCGAGAACATCCAAAAATCATTTAGAAGCTGCGAGCTAGCACCGATTCCTCCGTAAATGTAGATAATCTGTTTTTTAACGTAGATTTCGGACGCGTGGAAATACCTTCCGAGGGGCATTCGATCCTCTGGAGTGGAAGATTCCACTGTGACCTGCAGCCACGTGCTGTTCTTTGTGTCGAATTGTCGGAAATCATTGAGAGGTCCGTGGTTGGGTGAGTACCCACCGAACATCCAAAGCGACCCCCTACGATCCGCATTCACAGAGTGGCCAAATCGAGGAATGGTCTTCCTGAGGTGTTCCAGACTTTCACTTAGCAGCTGGGTATTGAACAGCTCCGTTATTACCAGATGGTTCCGCTGAACTAAGGTACCGCAGTCAGCGCCTGCATAGTTGGCATTACTACAGATGCACCTGCCATACTCCGTGTCGCAGAAGCCCTGCATCCTCTTGGCATTGCAGTTGCTTGGACAAATTTCAATCTCACAGCTGGCACCCACATATCCGGAAGGACACACACAACGTTGTTGGGTATCGCAGATGTGCGGAGGTATACAACTTCCGGCGACGCAGTTCATCACGGAGTACAATGCATTAAATCCAAAGTGTCGCCTTTCAGTTCCCTGCTTATAGTGGACCGTGACGTGACTGGAACGAGCCTCGATAATCCTTGCCGAGCTGTAGGGAGCACAAACCACGGCCAAGAGTTGGTTCTGCTGAGTGGCACCTGTCAGGTCCGGCAGACTGTCATATATGTACACAGCATTCTCATCACAATCCATGGCAAGACTCTGCCACTGAAACTCCAGCTGAAGAAGCGATTTCTCCGCCTGTAGTGTCTTCGGTTGCAATATCCACAAGCACTCTTTAACCTCCAGGCTGGCGCCCCATGGTGACCGGTAAGATTGATATGAGCCGATAGCACTCTTGCCAATATTAGTTAGTATTCCGCGGGATTCACATTGGTAATAGCATTTACCGCCGCCTCGAGGATCTCCGTAATAGCCGGGAGCACATAATTCACAATTGAGTCCCTGGGTGTTGTCCTTGCAGTAGCACTCGCCGTTGCTGACGTTGCAGACACCCAGATCTTGGTTCCCGTGACCGTTGCACTCGCAGGGAAGACATCCGTGTGGAGCGGTAGCGTTTCCGTAGCTCCCCTGTCGACATCTCTCGCACTTTTCACCTTCCGACCAGTCCTGACACTGATCACATTTCCCCAATCGCTCATTGCAGGTTGAATGATTATTGCAGCCACAGCTTAGTCCACAATCGGCTCCGGTCCAACCCAGAGCACAGCGACAGGTGTAATCCGGTGGTCCTGAGCAATTTCCGTTTTGGCACAACTCATAGCAGGTCCTCACACAGCTGAACTTGCCGTCGCCTATGTAACCTCTTCGGCAATGGCAATTGTAGCTGCCCTGGGTATTGGTACACTTCGCCTCCTTGTGGCAATCGTGCAGACCCAATCCACACTCGTCGACATCGGGGCACTGGGCGTACGCCCACTCCGCATCGTGATGGGAGGAACTATTTAAGGCCAGAGAGCAATTTCCTGCACTGTAGCTGAAGTCACCCTGCATGCAGATGCCCTCGATGGGATTGTCGCGATCGAAGCACCAGCCACAGCTCAGAGTTCGTAGACAGGATGAACAATTCCGATGCTGTTCGCAGGATTTGCACTGCTGCTGGAGGAAATGCGGTGTCTGGGGCTTCTGATCGGTAATTTCTTGCGGCTGACGACTGACTACCTGGTCCACCCATTCTCGGCACATTCCAAACTGAAACTCGCTTGTGTACACGGAAAAACTGAAGCACTGGGCACTGGCTTCACACCACACACATCGTCCACGCTCGCCAAGGCATTCCTGACAGCCATGCCGTTCTCTGCAGGATCTTGGGCACTGCTCCACCGCTCGCACGCTGCTATTGGTCTTGCCGATCCTGCCGCAACGGGCGTCCTCGGTCCACCACTCGCACTCGCCACTCCGGGCGCAGGCCTCGCAGCTAACGTAGTTTGTGCAGTTCGAACATTGACTGGGCTGGCTGATCAGGTAAGACCAGTGAAAGGTGTCCGAAGTCTCCATCTTGCACACTTCAGTCTCGTTTACGGATCGCAGATGACAGATATTGGTGAGAGGACACCACGCACAGGACGCGTCAGTGAGGCAGTGGAGACAGTTGGAGTACTGGGTACATTTGCCAGAGTAGTATGGTTCCAAATACTCGAATGTGAAGGCGTTTAGCTGCCCATTGTGCAGGTGCTGCAGTTCCATCTTGGTCTTTTGATAGGCGTTGTATATACCGTTTCCTCCAATTCTTCGTCGAGCCTGTATAAAATGTGGAAATATTAATATGTTGGACATTCGGCGGCCCCTTTGTCTTTGGAAAACATCGAGTCATAGAAAAGTAAATGGATTTTGAAATCGAACAAATAACCTATAGCGTGAGTTAGAAGTAGAGGAAATTTATAAAGGCACTCACCTGGAAATCAATGGTGAAAGGCTGCTCTGTGGTGGGCAGCTGGACATTGCTGCAGTAGCTCTGGTTGGAGCTCTGCGTAGTGACGTTGACGAGCTCATCCAGGTAAAGGCCCAAGCCAGCGCGCAGTACAGCCGAGGAGTAACTGGTGCACACCTGGATGGCTGAGTTGTTCCACTGATGTTGCGGACGCACAAATCCCACCAAACGGGCCAGCATTTCTCCCTCGAGTTTGTGCTCAAAATAAGTGGTAAACGGCGGCGAAGCAAAGTCCACCATAGTAGCATTCACAATACCCACGTAATCCGGCATGGTGTAATTGATCGGGAAGTGGTATTTAATGTATGTAAGTCCCGGGCGTCTATCAGTACTGGTGCACAACGAAGGGCGCCGAATCTCTGTGCCTTTGTCACCCCACCAACCTGAACTATCTCCACATATTCCGTAGTTGTCATCGCGATGATGGCATTTCGCATTCTGAACACACCATGTGCACTCGTTTAATCCCAGTTTACTGGCCACCGAAAAGGCTGCCTTATTTCCGGATGACTTTCCCCATTGCGAGCCATGAACCAAACATGAGTGGCAATCGCCGAGTGAGGGGCATATCCCTGGACATCTGGTGGTTTGAAGATTAGTCGTGCAGTTGGCACCGATGGTGCGACCGTAGCAGCTGCTATCTGCCGAGCACCAGCCACATTCGGGATTCGATAGGCAGGCGGTGTGTGAGGAATGCAATCTGCAGGAGATCTCCGGATTGTAGAGAGTATTCTCCACCCTCAGCACCTGGGGCAGTTCGTAGGCAAAGAGATCCGCATTCACATTTCCATGGTAACCGCCCACAATCAGAAGTGTGTGATTCCGGCGCAGAGCCGCCGCATGTGCAAATACACCCTGCGACTTGGGGTAAAGGCTATCTTCGGCGGAAACCACTTGATTAATCCAAATGTGACAGCTAAGATGGTACCAGTACATTTGGTTGTCATAGCATATCTCATCTTTGTTGTGACGATGAGTATAGCCTCCAAAGACAACCATGTAGTTGCCCGAAATGGTTGCCGTGTGGAATGCTCGCTCCCTGGGTATGTTGGTGTCCCTTAGCGCCGTTCGGGGGTATAAAATCTCCGTCCAGTGCATTTGATCCAGTTGAAAAGCGTAAATGCGATCCGAGAGCTTAGAGAAGCGGGCTAAGCTCGTCATGATTCCACCAAACACAATCAACGAATTGGTGGCTTTGTAATAGACCGTCGAATGCGCTGCCAGACGAACATCTAAGGTCTTGCCGCCTCTCGGTTGCACCAGCTCCCATTGTGAGTCCTCGGAAAGGGGAAGGGGTATACGATACACGCTGGATGAGAACTCACCAGTCTCCAGACTACCACCGAAAATGTAGAGATACCGTCCAGCGGCGTTAAGCGTATGCCTGGCCAAAGCAGGCGGCTTCACTGCGGACCTGATGGCCATTTGCTTCCATTTGCCGCCACTTTCCGTGTTATTGTACTGCCAGAGATCACTGTAGAAACTACCATTGGCGTGCTTCCCGCCATAGATAACGAAACCGCCGGGCACACGATCCGCTGCATGGCCATATCGTCCATGCGGCTTGTGATCCGTAACCTCCTCCAATATATCTTCCAGATACTCGTTCAACTCTTCATTCGTCGAATTCGCATTCACTATGGTAAGAGGCAGGGAGGAGCGCGTGCGGCGCTGAGACGGGTTGGACTCCGCCAAGGTGTACAGAACGGTTCGAAAGATGCTCACGTCGCTGTTAAGACCCCATAGCTTGGCCTCGTCTTCGTTCTTGTGATGGAGAACGGCCTTAAGCAAGGAATGATCGATTTTTTGAGGATGGTAGAAGTGACGGCGACTCTGGAGCGCAATTCCCCATTCATCCTCCCACTGGCTAGTGCTGAAGCGATAAATCTGAAAGGATACCGACGAAATTAGTTCTTTCTGTTGTATCGGGATTGTAAATACAGTAGAATAGTGTATAAGACTTACCTGAAGCGTGCTTATAACGTTATTCAGATCGTATCCGCCGAAGACGTAAAGAGCGTCCTCGTCCTCCATGTAGACGGCACTGTGGGCGGCTCGGGCCGTCATGCCTTCGGCGTCGGTGGCCAGCCAACGCCAGCTGCTGCCTGCTGGGTGATCACTCAGATCACAGAGCCGGCCGCTGAATCCGCGCGAGCAATGGCAGATGCTTTTCTGACAACGACCCCGTCCCTGGCTCTCCCCACATCGCTGGGGACAGGCCTCATCCTCGCAATCGGGACCCACCCACTCGCCGTGACAAACGCACTGATGGCCCACGCACTTCCCATGATTATGGCAGTTGTTTAGACAGTTTGATATGTAGTAGGAGGCTCGAAAGCCATCCAGCACGTAATTCGTGTCGCTGTACATCAGGATGAGCATCTGCAGGAAGAAGAAAGGGGTACAGACCTTAATGAATGGAGTGCACAAGGTCCTTAATGACTGCAACCATTATTATATTAAATTATATTATTAGGAAATCAACGTTATCTGATGTAGGCTTGACCCTAACGCGTACAGTAAAACATATTGAACAGATTATTTTGAGGCTTGTTCCGTTGAAGGTCATGCATGGGGAGTTGGAATAACTATATCCCACTGAAATATTCGGCAACGGTTCATGGAATATTGATCGAAATGGCTCCTATTTAATATCACTCGTTAGGGCAGAACAATACTCACACTCCCGCTGCGGGCCACCAGTCGCTGGGGCTGGGTTCGCCCACTGAAGCTCCCCAGGAGCGTTGAGTTGAAGGAGTCGCCATCGTAGACGTAGATGTAGTCGTAGGAGCACTCGGTGCCCATGCTGTGGAAGGTCAGCGTGATGTACTGGCTGTCGTTGCGCGCCTTGATCAGCCACTCGCAGTGCGAGTCCTGGGTGTAGTTGAAGCCGGAGGGTCCATCGGAGATTTCGCCGTAGGGCTCCGTGAACACCTTGCGGCTGCGATCGCACGGCGCCGACGGCGATGGGGACGGGTGGGCCTGCTCTGTTTGCAGCACCAGCGTCCAGAATGTCAAGGTTGCCAGCAGCGCGTACATTTTCTGCATTTTAATCGCTCACTTTTTATGCTAATTTTTGGCTATCTCACTGGGTGCCGTTTTGGCCGTTCAGATTTGCTCCAGCCAGCGCCCGCTGGCTCCTGCCATTGCTCACGACTTGCCGCTGGGCCCGGGCCAACAGCGCATCCGGTTTGGTCTGCTGAATATTCGTTATATTTCCAATTATTTTCCCCAGAAAATTGTTGAAAATATTTCGATTTATTTGTTGTATCGGGCCCTATCGGTCTTCGATATCGTCGTTGTTTGTCGCCGCCTATCGCTGCAAGTCTGAAGCAGAACAAAACATATGTTTTGTCTTCGATGGCAATGCCACTTTCACTTTTGGTATTTTTTTAACTGATCTGGCAGAATCTACTGACCGTTAAAATATCCAATTATTATATGTAAAATATTTATTTTTCTGTAATTTTATAAGCATGATCTACTATTTATATTAGCCTGCGTTCTATTGGGCAAGCATGTATTGTTTTTGGTTTTACATTCAGATGTCAACGCGGGGATCCAAAATCATAATGATTCATAACACAGACAAACATAATTAAAGCGCGAGCAATAGAACTAATGACAAGGCGTTTTCTAACTTTACTATTTAATAATAAAAATAATATTCTTTTCGTACAAAGTTTCATTGATACAAGTGTAAAAACAACTTACTCTACTTTGTACTCTAGATGTAGAAAACAGTTCAAACGGGGCTTAAGAACAGTCAAACATCGATATGCATATCTAGTCACAACAAAGAAACGATAACTTATCGATAGTGCATGGCTTGACAGCACGCTGCCATCCCTATGTGATTTCCTTCTTTTTTCGCCTTCACGAAATCAAGATGGTAAGCGTTTTCCGAAATCGTTGAACATCCACCTTTGCTATGCCCGAAATTAAGTGATCTCGCTGCAATAGCGGGAATACCAAAATGATTGACCCACCGAGCGGTGTATCGTGGATCGCGACGGCCTCCAAGTGCGTTGCTGTTCGGCTTGAAAAAATCGTTGTCGCTGCCCAATGAATTTAGTACTAATGGGATACTCTGTTTTCTGCCCGTAGGTGAACGTACCGAAACAACGCCGCACCTTCTGCAAGAAGTGCAAGGTCCACAAGCTGCACAAGGTGACGCAGTACAAGAAGTCCAAGGAGCGCAAGGGAGCTCAGGGCAGGCGTCGTTACGACAGGAAGCAGCAGGGTTTCGGAGGTCAGACCAAGCCCATCTTCAGGAAGAAGGTTAGTACACCCCCGTTTGTCCAATGGTACCGGGATCGCTTGCTGCCGGAGCCAGAGAATCCAGATCCAGAGCTCTTGGCGGCAAGAATCTGGAATCCCTTGAATGGCGCTTCGTAGAACTAAATCGCTGCGCTCGTTGAGCATTATGCTTTTTGGTGGGAAAAAACTGTGCCAGATCAAAACTGTTGTTGCACTGGTGCGGCCGAGAAGGCAGCGTTGAGTGGCATCCAAGCCCACAACGCCACACCGGCAACTTCAGACAATCCAATATATCAATGACCCATACTGTTCCGCTTGCTAACCGGAGCTCTTTTTCCATTTTAGGCCAAGACCACCAAAAAGATTGTGCTGCGTATGGAGTGCACCGAGTGCAAATACCGCAAGCAGACTCCCCTGAAGCGTTGCAAGCACTTCGAGCTGGGCGGCGACAAGAAGCGCAAGGGACAGATGATCCAGTTCTAGGCTCCTTCTTGAAACCGTAATCCTTTTTTCGCTAACGAAGTGGTTTTATGTTGTTTTCGCGCCGCTGCACGGCGGCAAATAAAACAAAATAAACTTGTAGACGTAAGCTTTAAAAAATGTTTAATTGCAAAGTGTAGCAACATGTGCTATATCACAAGATAGTCACGGTCTGCGCCAAGCAACTCACTCCCGCTGGCCATCTGCCAGGATCAGATCGGGTGTGCTGGAATGGAAATGGTGATGAGCTTCGAATTGGAAAAGCCTTAGCACTGAGCTTACTCTAAGACTCGGGGCTCCAGACCTTCGGATTGCATTTTCTGTTTGACCGCCGGTGCGGGCACACCCACTTGCACCATTTTGAAGAACTTCCTGTACCGAAGATCTTCGCAGGCGCGCACGCCGATCGGTTCAGGCGGGCATTCCGGCTCCGGTGGACTTTCCGTGGGCGGCAGTTCAGTCGTGTCCAGCATGGATGCCTCTTCGTTGGGCTGATTTGATATCGCTGGCGCTTTGAGAGTCTCTTCCGCTACATGGTGCTCGGTGGGTATGGACGCCAGCTTGGCCTCCAGGATGACGAGGGCGGCCTCCGTCTTCTGCAGCTGCCGCTCCATCTCCACGAACTTTGTCTCGCAGCCGAGGGCAAATTCATTGAGAAAGGTGCAGGTGCTGACGAGGAAGTGGTTGACGAAGGCCAGGATGCGTTTCTGGTTCAGCGGCGGTATCTGGAGAAGCAAATTGGTGGAGGGGTGCAGTTCATCTTGGGAATGCCTAAATACCTCCCATACCTGGGTCTTGTCCACATCGCCGGTTATTGCTGCACTTGCATCCATTATTTTATTGTTTTTACCAGACGTCTTGTTTTTTAGAACATTTCTGGGTTGCCAGGCTACTGACGGTACTAAATGTTGTTCGCTCAACAGCAAACTGAACTAAAAAGTCGGTATTTCTCGGAAACTTAAAACAGTTTATTTGGCGCCCAATTTGAAAAGGAAATGGTAGTTTTATCAAACAAAAAAATTATGTTAGCAAATGTAATTTTACAACAGACATGTTGAGGTAGTGTTATCAAACTGCCAAAAAAAGATAACAAATTACACCATCAGTCTTACTTTTATAAGTCTTTGCGAATAGAGTAGGAAGCCGCTTAAGAAGAAATCCACCATTAGGCTTTAAATATTTTATTTATTCACTTTATTGTATCTTAACATGAAATGTGTGAATGGTATTTCTCCGAGTATTATGCTCTTTTTCGTCAATTTATTATAAAAGTATCGTTCAGTTAATATGCATTTCCGTTGACTTTATTCATATATGTATGTATAAACTTATGTGCTGGGTGTTCCATTAGGACCTGGGACCTTCCTATATGCTCAAATCTACAATGAACTTTTATTTTGTCTTAGTTAAATAATGCTTATCGTGCCCTCCCTCGGCTTCGCTTTCTGCGTCTTAAGTATTAGTTGGAATGCCAAATCGGATCCTCGTTTTTATATTTGTTAGGCGAATTAGAATTAGATTACTTTCTGTTAGCTTTTTATATGGGTATTTCATTGCGGATCCCAGTTCTCGGTCTTTGTGAAACAAAACGCATGCGTGCAGCTTGTGTTTGTCGTCGGCAGTGGATTTGTAATGGTTTGAAACGAAAATGCTTGCATGTCGTGCGGTGTAGTTCGCAAACTCAAGAAATCAAAATGCTGCCAGCAGCGAGAATTGTTCGAAAATGAAAATGCCACATTGTTTGTTTAGTAGTTTTGAAGTGAAAGTTTTTAACTTTTGCCACCGTTGCAAACGAGAACCAGCTGGTCTACAACGTTCTCATCACGGAATGGTGCTGTTTGAAAAGTCTGGGACGAAATCAAAAGGCAGACGCACGTCACATGGCTTCGTTTTGTAAAACTTTATTTAAAATAAAAGTACACGGTAATAAAAAATCAAAAATTTACAGTTAAAATTAGAAATCAATAGATTTATGTATATATGTAAATGTATAAATCTGCTATATAACTGTGAGTGGTTGCCCGCTGGTCATCCACTTCTATTATTATTACCATTATCATCGGCTCATCGGAGTTTCGGATCAACGAGGGATCCAAAAGGTGATTCGGATACTCGATTGTAACAACTAAGGCGTAAATTAAAATACGTAATTAAAATAATAGAGGATTTGCTTGGTGTACACAGATCGCAATCGATTTTGATTCTGATTCGTCGGTTTCGAATATCAAGTGTTGGGTGTGGAGAGTGTCGGTGTAAGGCTCACGTAATAATAATAATAATAATAATTGGTAATACTAAAACTAATATTGAGTTGCTCGGCGTTCACGTTCAAGTCACATATCTAAATTTGATCATTCAACGTGTATTCACTTGATTAAAATTACGAGTACGCATCCATGGTAAGCGAATCTAATTATATTCAACTACGAAATCCATTGGATCAGCGATTGGCGCCAACATTTTGTTTGTTTGTTTCATTCGTTAATACTAGGCATAAATTAAATAAATAGCTTAGCATACGTTTATAGCTTGCCTGCAATTATTATTTATATCTCATCCTCACATGGTCGTGGTTCATCAAGCATTGCGTACTCCCTTGGTAATGACAATTGAAATTATATAAGCATTATTCTGCATGTACTATTTGTCCAATTTTCGTCTCACATTCAGTTTTGTGTGTGTGTTTTCGACTCGCTACCTGCATAAATAAACCCGCCTTCATCATAGTCTCACCTCGACTGTCCTCTAATTAATGTTAATTTACAATTTTTTCTCGCTCTTTCGCTAATATGGGGTCGGGTTATATGGTTTGGTTATATGTATATGCCTTGCTTAGTCTACAGAATTTGATCGTCTACATCGTTAATCGTTACGTAAATGTTTCATCGCACTTTCCTCCGTTTGCAGCGCGTACAACTTCACCCTGCAGCGAAGGAAACGTGTCCTGGCACTTGCACAGCGAGGGTGCCTATGAGGGTGTCCGGCCAGACGCTCCACTTTCAAGATCTGCCATGGGCATAGAATACGCATATATATATATTTATATCCTCGTGTTTTTGTATGTATATAAAATGTACAGAAAGTCTGACTGATTTATAGGCTAACTCGGTATAGAACAATCGCTGTGCAAGTGCTATTAAAACTAGAACCGAAAAGAGATTCGATCTTGGGTTGATCCCGCCTACTGGGGGATCCACAGCAAGATCAAACTTTTTCATTGCTACGGTGTTATTTTGAACAGATACATAATGTCCATGTGTTGCACTTATTTGGGGTTATTTGCCATATTATGCATTGCTTTAGAATTACGTTCCTAGATTAAGTGACTCTCGTCTGTTACTTGACTCTGTTGCTCTTCTCGAAATGCCGTTTCTTATTTTGAATTTATTTCCGTTTCTCGTTTTACTTTTATCAATTAGTTGTATGTTTATGTTTTGTTTGTGTTCTCTTCCCTCTCTTATTGTTGTATGCATAATTGGTTGTTGTTCTCGGTTGAAGTATAATTAGATTTATATGTATAGTATATTTATAATGTATGTATAATTATTTAACTCGAACTCGCAATCGCTTAGCTGTGAGTTGCTGGCTGTGGATTCTGCATCTGCAATATGCACTCTGGATTCCGAATTCTGAATTCGTACGATCCGACGTGGCCAGGGAGATGATGGTCGTTCTTAGACAAACACCTTGGCGAGGCCATCGGCCCCGGCACTAGCAATGTACGGCTTCGTGGCATGGAAGGCCACATCGAATATGCTCTCGTCAAACTTCTTGCGATGCGCCGTGATCTCCTGCACGCACGTCTTATTGTCCAGGTTCCACAGCCGTATCGAGCAGTCGTGCGAGCCGGATAGCAAATACAGACCGTGAGCGTCGACGGCCAGCGAGGTGACCGGCTCTAAATGCGCCACCATGGAGTGTACCAGCGTGCCGGAGGTGTTGTCCCAGAAGCGGATGTGGCGATCCTCGTGCGCGGTTATCGTAATGGGGAGCGTTGGGTGTGACACCACCTTGTTGATGAACTTCCCCGTGTTACCAGACATCTCCTGCGCCGCCTCCAGACGGACCACCTGCTTGCCCGTCTCCGTGTCGTACACGATGCAGTGGGCACTGTTGTAGGCCACTACTATGTGGTCCACCTCATTGCGAACAAAGTCGACGGAGGAGGGTGCACCCTCTGCCTCGGAGGCTGTGTATGTGCGCAGCAGCGGTTCCTTGTTGTACGGCGACCACAGCTTGACCGTTCCGTCCGCTGAGCATGACACAATGTTGCTTTGCATGGTGGTAAGGCCCCACACGGCATCCGTATGCCCCTCGAGCGTGCCGGAATGCACGTTCGGATCGTAGCAATCGTATGGATCGATGTTCGGTGACGGCAACTGCCAGCATTCAATGTTGCCGTCCAGGCCGCCCGAATAGCATGTCTCACCACTGGACGACATGCCCAGGCACAGAACTGGACCGGTGTGGGCCCTGAACGTATACAGCGGTTCCACGTCCAAGCTGGCCGACTTTTTAGCCTGCACCGTCTTCTGAAGGTTCCACAGCTTAAGCGTATGATCCTCGGAGGCGGTGATCAGCACCGGCTCCTCTGGGTGAAAGATAAGTGATCGTACTCCGTCAAAGTGTGAGCGAAGCGTGTACTTGGCGTTCCAGGTTTTGCGGTAACCAGCACCGCCGGCACTGCCGCCAGTTCCATCCTTGGAGTTCGCATCGTATGCGCCATCAGATTCGTTATTCACCGTCAGCTGGGCAAGCTCACCCAGTCCCAACGAGCCGTCTACCTCTGTGGGAAGATTAAGAAATACAGTAAGTATTAATCATATCGTATGGTAGTTTCGAAAGACTCAAGGAGCGCCAGATTAGGTAACCACACGTACTTTGTTGGTTCTGTTTATTATAAGTAATACTCGTATTTAAATTACAATTCTCTTTAAGGAGTCAAAGCTCATAACCAACAGCATCTGTGATAATCATTTTCTGTGCACATCCTTGAGGGTTATGTAGTCCTTATATTTGTTTTAGGCAAAAGCATGTTAGATCAGTTGAAAAGCACCTTCAGTCATGAGATTCATATCGTTCAATAGCTGCTCTCCCACATCGGCCTCAAGATCTACGAACGTAGAAGTCGTAGAATAGTTGCCAAAGAAACAGAAGCAGAAGCAGAAGCAAAAAGCGTAAGACAAGAAGCCAACCTTAAACTAGGTTACATTGCTACGTGGGATTGACAGGAGCTGGGATCTAAACCGAATTGATTTCGTTATAGCTATGATTTGGCGAACAAAAATGCGGAAATTCGAGGCGGGCCCATGCGGGAAGAGGGCTGCGAGCAAAGTGGGAACTATCCGGAACAGGACTTACCCTCGGTCAGCATGTCCTTGCCAGACTTGGCGCGCTTGGCCATCTTCACGTCCGTGTCGTCATTGTCGGTGGCCACCATCTCCAGGTCGTCAGATATCTCGTCGTCGTCGGACATCTCGGTGGCGCCCAGGAACTCAAAGTTCGCCATCACAGCCGCCTCGGTGTCCACGATTATTTCATCGATCGATTGTTGCACTTTTTTAGCGGGAGTATGACGGCCTGATGTGAGCAAATTATTCAAATCTCCTAACAGGGGGTCGTAACACAATCACCTACCTTCCGTCTCCGATGCGCGCTTGTTGCTCTCGTTTCCGTTTATGTTTGGGCTAAGGTTCTCGCCGCCGGTGCCGCCGCCAAGTCCACCGCCCAGACCCCCGCCGCTGCCGTCGTGCTCTGCATTGTTGTTCAGGCCGAGGATCGAACGCACCCGATTTGAACGCACATCGATGATGTTGTCTGTGTAGCCGATCTCGGCCAGATACTGTCGCAGCATCTGGCGCCCCTGCCGCCACGTGGTGTTCGAGACACTGCTGTAGGGCACCTCCGAGTCCGTGG